GATATGTGTCCACAAGATTATTCTTATTACTTCGAATTTGAATAGCTAGAAAAAAAATCAGTACATTTCACGCTATTTAGATACCTAAACAAATTTCGAAAATATTCCTAACAATATCTCAGCGTCGAAAACCATACGAAATTCGATAAGATGGCCATCAAAATGTGTATTCATCTTCTATTCTAAGATCATATTTACGATCAGCGTAAGAAACTCAACCAGATTGGATATGCATCTTAGGCGGATTTGAAAAAAGTCTTTTTATGACATAAAAGCGCTATTTCCCAAGACAATTTTGCATTCCTGGATAAAATGTCTAAATAATGCAAGTAAAGTTAGCAGCAGATGCGAGTTTTATGGAGAAATATTCGCCTATAGACTTGTGCCAAAAAAATATTTGTTGTGCCGGATAGAGCATCGAATATACTGTGAAATGCCTAGCTTTGGAAAAATTCTATCATGAGAAACGGCTGTAAAATTTAAAAAGCTATTTTCAAAACATTGATTTTTCGTCAAAAAACCAGTATTTCGGCCTAATATTCATTTTGAAAGCTGTGCCAGTTAAAAAGACACTTGTGCCAGACAGAACTGAGCGAGATCTATCGAATAATAACAAATCCATCCATGTTCATCATCATGGTCGGGATCTAGGAGAGTGGCAAATGGTTTTGGAGAGGTTTGGCATCCCTATTAAGACCACATATCCACTAAGAAAGTTGTACCAGTCGAGAAACCACTAGTACCACATAGAATGCCATGAGATCTTTCGACTGGTACTTAATGAATTCATTTTCAAAATCACAGTAGGCATCTGTAAGGGCGGCACACTATTATGGAGGGGTTAGGAGTCCCTATTAGGACGAAATATTCATTTTGGGAGTTGTGCCACTTGAGAAAGCAGTTGTGTCAGATGGAACTCGGCGAAATCTATCGTTTGATACTAAATTATCCCATGTCGATCGTCATAGGCAGGTTCGAGAAGGGCGGGAAGTGGTTACAGAAGTGTTTGAGATTCGTATCAGGAGCAATTATTCATTTTGATTGTTTTGTCATTCTGAAAAGCATTGGTCTCAATGAGATGTCAACGATAGCTGTGGTTGGAGCTTAAAGCGCGCGATGCTCATGAAGAAGGTCGGCTTCAACATAGTTAGTGTTGTGTCGGATAGCTTTTTGCCCCATGTTACGAGTCGAATATTCGTTTTCTGAAGTGTGGTTAGTTGAAACACAGGGTGTTTTTAGAACAAAATCGATGAAATCTTTTGAATAATGTGATTTTCAATGGTATTGTGAGCTCGCAATACCTGTACATGGAGACTGTTAGGCCGCATTAGATTCTCTTGGATCTTGTTGTGTGATGATTCTTTCCCTGATCTGTACATTGTGTTTTAAAGAATTTCAAAAATAAGTTGATTTCACGGGTAAAATCATCGTTTTTGGATGGTAGAATTTGTTTTTCAGATATTAGTGAACGATATGTTGGTTGTGTTTGAGGTACGAAGTTTCGAGTTTCCTCAAACTGATAGTTGAATATTGGAAAACGTCGAGTTGTGATAAGAGTCTCTATAAACTGAAAGTTCCGGTTATGGAGCTAGCAGCCTACGCAAAAGGAAAGTGGCGGCGTATGCGCGTGTACTGGAACAGAAAGTTGGTAGGAATAACGGTAATCGGAAACGGAAACATCCAAGAAGCACAGAAATAGATAGGATGAACTGCAGGAAAGCGTCGCTGAAGTACAAAGGAAGAATTTTGTTTTACCGTCGACAAAGCGGAATGAAGTTTGAAGAGTGCACCAACAGAAGAAAAGGTTTATTTCAAGAAACAGGTAAGCAACTGACTTCGAAAAATTCCGGTAGGCATTTCGAAACCTCTATCACCGAACATACAAGTAGTGACAGTGCTACAGACGTCAGTCTTCAGGCATGTAGCCGGATAATCGATAGTTCTTTTCGAAGTTAACTTTTGGAGTTATTCACTGAAAGCTCTCTTTTTTTTATCATCGTGCAAATGGATTGAAAAAGAAGCGAGGAGAAGAAATACCAAGATAACATAAAGACATGAGAGAAAGAAGGTGATCTCACGATTATGTGCCTGACTCTAAACACATTGCCGCCGAAAAAAGGAAAATATCACTCATTCTCCATTTCAGCTACACAATATGACTGAGAAAATTAGCGAAGACGGAAGGCTAGAATTTCAATCAATCTGACGGAATAAGGAATCAATTAGCGAAGATATGTCCAAGACGATGAGAGAGACAGTTCACAAATGAGAAAGAAAGAGGAAGCCGGCAAAGAAAGTAAGACAAAGACCCGCACATAAACTCAAACAATCGCACAGTTATACATATGAACACACAAAGAATATAAATTCCAATGTCACTCCTGTTTAGCACAGATAAGCCACAATTGCAAATGTCACATTTGAGAGATACCGAAGTAACACTTTGCTAATATCTGTTCGCCCGACAAAATTTACGATGATTCACGTAATCAGATATTGCCTCCCAACGTTTACTGCTTACCTTGACGATATTCAACGAAAACAGCATATTCCGCTCCACAATCTGAAATTGCGCCTGTGATATTAACACAGACACCCAACACAAGTAAGCTGTGGTATGGTAACCGCACGCAAACGCTGCGACTAGTAAAACGTTCCATATTCTCCTCCGTACGCTATACAACGAAATTTCAACCAATCCGCAGGATGCAAGCTAATACAATTCGACAGATCCCATTAAATTCCATACGGCCCATCTGTTTTGAAAAAAACCCAAAAACTCACAACGTATATTTCTGTTTCTTATAGGCATCCATATTATCCTCTATCAATTATTCGCAAATTTGACACCAATCCTTGTACTGCACATAAGTCCACTCAAGAACAATCAAAGCATCCCCTCGAGTTCTCTCAGATGAAAACGTTTTCTTAAACGACTAACATCTTTAAGCGTCTCTTAAGTCCTGCTATGTATCCAAAGCAGCTTAACGAATACCTTTTCCTATCCCAACAAGTAAACCTTCACCATAGAGATGAATAAATATGCTACGTATCTATACATCACAATCAGTCCTATCTAACACAAATACGTTCCAAACTGTTACAATTTTAAAAATGCACATTCGGTCATAAGAGTGGCCCCGAATACCAGCATAGCTAACTATCGCCGTCGTGTGCTCTGACCATGATGATGAACACGTGTTACAAAAATAAATGATTTATTTATCTTTATTTTATGAATATAAACACTTTATTTATCTTTATTTTCCAAATAGAAATGTTTTATTTATATATACTCTTTAATATAAAGGTCAAAAAAGATACAGTAACTCTAGTCAAACATCTTGTAAGCAAGATCTTGAAATCTTGGGATTGTTAAGCAAGATCTGATCAAGATCTTAAAAAGATATCTGGCATGCATATATCTTGGCCGTAGCAAATAAATCTGTACTCAAGATCTTGGAAAAGATATTATTTTCTATTATCTTTTCCCAAGATTTTGACTAAAACAAAAAGCGACACCATTAATTTATTAACTTATTTTAACATTATTTGATTGCTTGGAACTATGCTGCGAACCCAATCGTATAAACTTGTTAGTCTCATTCGTGTTTAAGAAATTGAGCAATTGCGGGGGCTTTTGTCAACCAATAGATTAAGAGCTATGAAGAACAAAGAAGGAAGAAAAGATTATTGAACAGAAAATTTATAATGTAGTAACACCGTTTTTTAGACTAATCTAGTATGAATTCACGAAATATTCGTATTTTACAAGAAGATGGTTGATGCTTCGTTACGATAGAAAATGATTTAGAACTACAATTTTTTAAGACCTTTTTGTTGAAAAAAGATAAAATAGAAGACGTTTCAATTTTAATCAAATACTATATTTAGATAAATTCTTTAATTTCTTTCTTTCCATAGTAACTTTTCTAAGATATTGTAGAACTAAAAAATGTTAAATTTGTTTTATTTCTAGATTTTTTTAATATTGTAATTTAAACTAAGGGATGAAGATTTCGTACATATATAAACATCGACTTGATGTTATGATTATCATCTAATGCCTATTAATTAAATTCAAGGCGAATGATGATTCAACATAATTAAAAACAAAAAAAATTAACTTTCTAAAAAGATTAGAATCCTATATACATAAAAGCAGAAGATATCAGTTTTTCTACAATGCAGCTCTTTTTTATTTGAATTTGCATAAATAAAAATATTTGTAAACTCTTAAAATTCCATACATGAACCGTAAAAATTGTTGCACTCTTATTATTCATATTTTTATAATACTTTTAAAGGGAATTCAGCTCGAATTACACGTTCAGATAAATATTTTCTACTATTGAAAGTAAATAAAACAGTAGGATTTTGACTGATAATATTGGAAATCCTGATTATTAGTATGAAAGATCTAATTACCAGGAACAAAGACCAATCAAAACTATCAAAAAAGATCAGATATAAAATTCAAGATATTTAATATCTGTACCCAAGATCCTATGCATGTGTACCCAAGATCTTATGGATCTGTATCCAAGATCATACGAATATGTAACCAAGATCTAATTACAGATCTTGGTACAAGATAATATGATTATCTTATGCCTAAACTTTTAAGATCTGTTCACATTTCTCTACCTTGTATCTTGACCAAGATCTTGCTTACAAGATGTTCGACTAGGGAACACCTCTAATGATAACTATGAACTTGTTAAAATTGGATCATTTAAAATTGTTTAAAATTCTTCGAATGGAAAATATATACAGTAGTATGAATGCTATCGCCATCTTTTCTAGTTTGAAAAGAAAGAAAGAATGAACAGAATATAGGTTTCCAATGGCATTGAAGAATAAACTATTGTTAATTGATTGTTATTATCTTATATATATATATATATATTATAGTTTGAAGTTGAACAATTATAAATTGAACATGTCTTTTTTTCTACTCTTGGTTATATTTCTGATTATTTCATCGTCTTATTGTCGCAATGAATAGTCAAAGAATGACAGATTGGTTTCAAAATAAAGTAATTATATTAAGTTCATTGTAAAGCTATGTTAAGAAATTTCTTTTAGGTAGTTTTCATAAAAAATTATACTATTGATCAAAAACAAAGTATATCATCTGACAAATCTCAAATAAATTTAATAAAAGAAATCTTTCTTGTTGTTGATGATGATGATGATGATGATGATGAAATGAAACAAGAAGAAAGTAAGTTGAAAATTATTGAGAAAATAAAAAATAAATTATTTTTGTTTTATTTCTTCTATAAGTAATTATTTTATTTAATTCTGATTATATTTTTTCTAAAAATATAACTATTATCTTTTTATTTCTAGCTGAACAATTAAATTATTTAATAAATCAACTAATTATTATCTCAGAAGAAATTCGAAAGAATCGATTGTTACGTTGTGAATATACTAAAGAATTTAAAGAAAAAATTAACAATCCAAGTGAAATGAAAAGAAAATATGATATGAACGAAGTACTTGATCGAATTTATAATTATTGCAAACACATAAATATGAAGAAAAAACAAAGAAAAGAATTGAAAGCAATTATTACTCTTATTCGACATCCTGCTCATAAAATATATGTAAGATTATTTGATTTATTTTCAATTTGTTTCACTTCTCTTATTTAGGATAAAAACAATGAAATAGTGAATAAATGTTTTGATATGAAAAAAAACGACAAGAAAATCCACTATGAATATAATCTCATAAAACAACAAAATGAAAAAAATCTTCATGCACTCAAATCTTGAGATCGTCGAAACAATCAAATATTATATGTAAACAAAGAAACAAAAAAAAGCGTTATGAAGTAATGAAAGATGAAAACAAACAAATGAAAATTCAAATGAACGTAATAGAAGAATACTTGACAAAAACAAAGTAATTCGATTTATTTTCATATCTTAATCTTGAAAATAATGTCTTTTAGAACTGCTACAAGGAACAAAATTTTAGAAGAGGTTTATGTTCGCTTTTCAACCCTCGTTATTCATGAAATTAAAATAAAATATGATGAAGACAACGAAGAAAAAAAATGATGGCATAAAAAATGCTTGAGTTTTAGATCATCTTATAATCTAACTACGTTGAAAAATATAAAACATGGAATTATAAATGATCAATCATCACCCATGTTATAAAAACCGGATCAGTTGTAGCGGTAAACCGGAAAAAAAGTAGCGGTTCACCACGGTTAACCGGAAAAAACCGCGGTTCTCTCCGATCAACCGCGGTTTTTCTATGTCAAGGAGTCGATAACCGGACCGGTAAAACCGCGGTTAACCGCATGTTTTTGGCCGGTTTTCATCACATGGGCAATAATCATTAATGCAGTTCTTCTTGATTTTTCAAGCAAATCAAATATATTAATAAACGATTTAATTGATATTTTACTGAATAAAACAAAAAGAAATTATAAAGTTCATCATATTATCAATAAATATATAGATGATGTTATAAATAAATCTTGTCAAAAAACAAATTTAATAAGTTACATTGAAAAAGCAAACAAGATTAACTTGTTCATCAACAATAAAAATATAAATTTATTGATGAAATTATTATACATTAATATAACATAGTGCCAAATTGAAAATGAAATGTGAGTTGGAGAAAATAAAAAGATTTTTTTGTCTTTATAAGTTTTCAATTATTTTTTTTTTCTTTAAGATGTTCAAGTATTTGGACTTTTCTTGATGCATCAGAATCAACTAATTCGAATATTAATGATCCACAACGAATCCCTATCGTTAAGCAATACATAGTTTGTTTGTTTGTTTTATTTTTGAAATAAAAACTAAATCTTTTGTTTTATAGAAAATAGGTACAAATTTAATTGATAAAATCCTATCAGATTTTTGTTGTATCGGTGATCAATGTATAATTATGCCAAATCGAACATATGTTCAAATTAAAAGAATTTATTATAATAATCCTCAAACTGATTTTTGTATTTGTGGTCAATATGTTCAAGTTAAATTAACAAATGTTAAACAAGTTTGTTTTGTTTTTTGCTTTTAGTAATTATAATATCTAATCAATATTTGTAGAATATCTCACCTGGATTTATTTTATGTAATGCTGAAAATAAAACACATGGAATAAGTCGAGTTTTTGATGCACAAGTAAAATAATTTATAAATTAAAATCTACATATATATATATATCTTGTATATAGGTTGCTAAAATTCATTGTATATCAATTATATGTCCAGGTTTTTTGACTGTTCTTCACATTCATTCAGCTATTACTGAAGTTGGATTGAAAAAATTATTTTGCTTAATTGATTTTACAATAGACTATGAAATTGAACAAAAAGCCAAAATTTATAAAGCAAAATCAACTAGTGAAAGGAAGATTTGAATTATTACAACGTAATCATGTTATATGGATCGAAGGATTTAAAGATTGTCATCAATTTGTTAAATTCACACTTCGTTATGATGGTGAAACTGTTGCTGTTGGAAACATTCTACAAATCATTGAATGAACAGTACATAATTATTCTTTTTTTGTCTATTATTAATAATTTTTTTTTCTTTCTATTACTTGATATATATTTTTCATAAAATAAAAGAAATAATTGAAATTGAAATTAATTACTTTTGTGTTTTGTATCTACTTTTGTAAGTTTTCTTAGAGCATGAAAATAATTTTGTTGATCAATGATAAATGTGTATGAATATTTGTAAGAGAGGAAATTCGCGACTCATAAGAATTTATATTTGATTAATTTCATGAGTATAATATAAAGTACATGAGTAAAGTAGTTATTTGTTAATATTTATGTCTTGTAGTCGTCATTATTGTCTTGTTCATGAAAAGCTAATTGAATAATGTATTAAGAAACGAAAGAATGCGGAGCTTAATTGTTAAAACGGAAGAAATAATGAAAAACAGAAACGTGAATGGACAATAGTAATAATGATAATAATAATTACATCCGTTGGAAAAGAGCTAACTAATAGATAGGAATGGACAATAGAATGACATGATCATCCTATGTATCATGTGTTTAATATTGATAGGAAAGCAAAAATATTATTAAATTTAAAAGAAGAAATACGAAAAAATTAACAGAAGTTAATAAAAAGAATGTTTACAAGTTATATATGAGAGTATATAAAAATCACTTCAAAGAAACTAAAATAAAGTCTTATGAAACTTGTTGTTTGTGTGATTTTTTAAAACACTTTTGTTTATAATGTTCTTTAATCGAGTAAAAGATAAAAGCCGAAGAAAAAGTTTTACTTGAAAACTTTTTATATAGAGATTACTTAATTATTAATCCTCTACCATTGATTGTTACTCACAGAGAACATTACGATGCAGGTTGTTTAAAAATATCAAAAAGGCTTAGATCCAATAATGAATAGTTTTTCATATTCAGTTAGTTTGGTAGCATAATAATTAGCAAACAAAACATTTGTCACTAACAGATATCCCAGAATAAGTTGCACTAAATCTCAGTACATTTTTCTGTCTTTTCTTAGTGATCGAAAAAATTCGCTCTTATGCCAAAACATGGAGAATTTCGTGCTCTACAAAACTGTCAATTTTTTTTTGGGGTGTGGGTGGGTGTGGACTAAAAAGAGGACACACCCACACACCCCCACCCACGCCCACACCCACACCCACATCCACACCCACATCCACACCCACATCCACACCCACACCCTCGATATCTCAGTCAAATTCCAACTTGGGCCCATATCCTTTTAGACTTTTTCTAGTCTATTCATTCCCTAGTTGTGGGCAAAATTTCAGTTCAAAAGCTTTTTGACACCTCGGGTGGTTCCCTCGTAAGATTTGTTTGAATGAAACCAGAACCATTATGTATAGTTTACCTATTATATAAGGTGTTGCTGTATTATTATAGAAACGACCTGCCATTATTTTTACATGTTTTAAATTCAGACAATTTTTATTATCTATTGTTTGAGCCATGTGGACAAGGCATGCTAGATGTTTAACATTGATTGAAGTGATTCAATATAAGTGACTGAAATACAAAGAAAATTGTATGAAATTAATTGTTTAATAAGCATCTCATGTAGCGAATGATAATAGTCGAAGGTTAGATCGACCGAATGACATTGATCAAGAGCAAGTTGTTCCAAACGATTATTTTCAATTCCGATAATGGAATAGAGTAATAGCTCACGAGGTTTCACTTTATTTGTAATGGCTAAAATCATCTCATTTGGTAAGTTGAGTAATTCGACAATATCTTCTATACAAAAAAATAAAACAAAATGTTCACATAATTAAAGAGACACATACTTGTGTTTAAAAAACATGTCATTGTTTATTTGACGCGTCTGACAGAGTAGCGGGCAGACGTACACATAGTTCACAGTATATTTTTATTACATATAGGAGCGATTGATTGACATATTCCAAATAACGCGACTACCTTCCCAATTCAACATATAGTTATAGAAAGAAAAGTAAGAGAATATATTGCTCGTTAGGCATAGCAATCTTTATTATTCAAATATTGACTCGACTTAATCTATCGTTTTGGTATAATCTTGCGTTTTTATTTGCTATTACAAAAAATATAATCGATCACCATTGCATTTTACTTTTACTTCAAGCAAATGGGCCTGCTATTTTTCGTTTTCTTTTCTTTTTGAAAGAAAAACATAACGACCAATTTTAAATTATCTTGAATTATTTATGTAATTAAATTTAACATTCCATTGATCCAAAACAAAACTTTAGTGTTTCAATAAATCTTATTTCATAAATGTATGTTTGACGTTGACATGTTTTTATTATTTTTCATATGTTCATCATAATAATTTTAGCTACTTTTTGAAAATTATTTCAGTGTATCAAGAAATATTTCATGATCCATGAATAATAGTTTAAATAATTGATCGTATCATCGTGATGTCTATAGGCATAAGCATATAGTTCAATGATGTTATTTTTATTCATCGACTTTGCTTATCGATGTTAATCGAAAAGTTCAACAAAAGAATTGCTTAATAAGACAAGTATACATGGTGTTTGTCAATGTTTAAGGATACATATGAATCAATTTGAATATGTTCTACGATTTGCTCAGAGAGCTAAACATATTTATTCGACATCAAGAAGTGATGCATTAATTTTGACAACTTTATATAGTATTAAAAGAACTGCTTCTTGCGAATGAGAGTTATATGATTATTTATTCGTATGCAATTTACTGTTTTATTTCGAAAATTGAACATCCTATACAGTTAAGTATCAACATATGGTGGCAGTCAAATAAGACTGACATCTTTTCGTACATCTAATATATAAAAAAGTAAAAAACCATTTCATCTACGCTTATTTATAGGCAAAAAGAAATATATTTATTATTATGAATACTGATAAAGCATTATAGGACAGACTTTCTGCCGTGATATTGCTTCTTATTTTAAGTATTACAAAAAATTCTATCACTGATTTTTGTGTCAAAATTGTTAATTATATATATACAAGATAGTTGAATAATAACTGATGGTGAGAATGTATTTAATATAACCCATTATGATGGCTGTTGAGACCAGCGTCATAAACTAAGTTTTTGCAAAGACCTTTCTCAATGATTTTCTACTTATCACTAACGCTCAAATGGCTAATTGAGTTAAGTTTTTTAAAAGTTTTAAGTTTGTCAGATGTATAAAATAAGAATGAATAGCTTTATTATTTAAATGAAAAACCAATTCGAGTATTCACTGGAACGTTATTGTTTATATCTACACGAGATACATTTACACACTGATTGCAATGTCACTTACGATATATTTGAATAATTTTTAATCACTTATTCAAATAATTAATTAATTTAGAAATTGCTCATCAGAGTATTTGTAGTTCACTATGTCCTATTTATTTTTTCTTTTGCTGCATTGAAATCCACTGCGACAGTTATATTCTTAAACGTTGAGACAGATTTCATCATTCTGGATGAATAATCATAAATAATGTATCGATCCGACGTGGTCTAGTGGTTAGGATTTCTGCCTTTCACGCAGGAGGC